GGACCGGCGTAACTCGCATATCAGCACCAGGATAGCGAGCTCCATGCTTGCACCGATCGCAAGTCCAGAAGACCATCAACGATAGACAACCTTCTTTGCCATGCGTGAACTGCCATACATCAGCGCCAATCGCTGTGCAAAGATTCCAGGGATATACTGCTGCCGTAGCTGTCCTCCAGGTACTGGTTCCTGGAATCTTCCCAGATAACTCTCCATGAAGAGGGCACTTGTTCTCGCCAGTGCATCGCAATAAGGTGGACTGGCTAATCTCAATATTCGCGTAGTCCAGGATGGTCGTCTTCTTGTTGGGCAGGCCTCGGCTGTCGATGTCCTTGGCTCCATGTTGACACTGATCAAGTATCGCCGAAGTGGTCTGCTTGTCATTATGAATTGACGCGAACGGACTCTCCGTGAGCAACTGTGACCCGTGAGGTGTCTCCAAGATGAAGGCTCGGGTCTTCTGCTTGGACTCGAGAACTTGTCTGCAGCGATACGTTGTCCACTGAAGGCCTGCTCGCTCTTCTTGTCGTGCTCGTGCTTTGGTTTCTGCTTTAGACGTAGTGTTGGCCTTTGACCAAGGAGAACATCTTGGGGAAAAGAACTGTACTGAGATCCCCAGATTGTCGTGTATCTCATCCAGGATATGTTGATGATCTCGTAGGCCTGTGTCCCAGCCATACCTGTGGTCAACTGGAAATCCTGCATTGAGTCGCAGATGAAGAGCTGCCAACGAAAGTCGTGATGATCCTGAGCAGATCTCCTGAATGTCCAGTCTGTGACCTAGCTCATTGACCTCCATGGCCGGCGTGACGTGGTGCAGCCACTGGAGTGCATTCAGCGGGGTCACCACTGGAAGAGAACTGCCATTGTAGAAATCCTCTGGCATGCACATGTAGTACTTCTCAGCATCTGTCTTGCGCTTTGAGTTCCAGTGTTGAGGCCAAGTGCCAACTGAATATTTCTGACCAGGAAACTCCATCCATGCTTTGTAGAAGCCATTCTGCGGTATTCCTTTCCAGACAGGATGCTGACCTTGAGGAGGTACTGGTACTGCGTGCATAGCTCCATACGTCGGAGATGATCTGCTGCTTTCTGTTGGTGTCAGTATCGATCTCGTCAGTGGTGTCGGTAGTGCCAAAGCTGCCATCGATGCTGATGATGCTGTCGTTGTTGGCATGACCGGAGGCTCACGAACTGGTACTGGTGCCAGTTGCCGAGCAATGTTGATCTTGTGCAATCCTGTGGTTGTGATCTCCTCGTCGATGTCTGAAGAGTTCTCAGGACCACTTTCACCCTCTAAGCCTGACGCTCGTACTGCTAGCGTCAGGGAGCCAGCGTCCATGCCAACTGAACCTTTCCGCTTCTTATGATGGCTGCTGGTCGAAGTGCGCATGACCTCGTTGAAATATTGTACTACCGTCTTCCTCAGCTTCTTCTGGTCTAACCACGATGCTTGTTTGAAATCACCCGTCGGAAGCAGGTAGTGACAAGAGTCGGTTAGATAAAGCCTGATGAAGAAGGTCTGAGGTATTGCTGTCGTATGAGGGCCTCCAGAACCCACAACTTTGATAATCATTATACCGTCGCCTCCCTGCAATACTCCACAAAGAATCGAAGATTGGAGGCGAAGCAGCACGCTGAGTGGGAGAAGCCCCGGGCACTTCGAGCCCAGGTCACCAAGCAGGTCCAGGTCGATCGTGACCTCCGCGATGCCAGGAAGTGGAATGCCGAGAGGTGTCTCAGCCAAACCTTTGCTTTTCTGCTGTCGGCCACCAATTCCAGTAAAGCGGCTCTCTGAAGGCTTGACCTCGATCACCTTTCCGTATTTAGACAAGATGTCGGTGATGTACTCCTTCATGGTGTCCGTGCCCATGATCGCCTTGGCCGCGCCCGTGTCGACGAGCATGCCGTGCATGGGTCGTCCACGAACCAGATGAAAGTTCATGTTGGTCATATTATTGATGATGCGCGGCTTGTTCTGCCATTGATGCTGGATCATCTGGCTGTCGGGTATCATCACCTGTTCGTGAGACGCAAAGATCGAAAACAGCGATGCCGTAAACAATGCTGTCCGAGCCAATGCACTTCCTGAGCGTGTCGTACGTGTCGATGTTGTCACTGACGATCTGGATTCCTGAGCCTCCAGGTCGTCCGGGTCGTCGATGCCGAGCTCCTGCATCCGTTGGCGACGTGCCAGCAAACTGTCGAAGTTGAATTCTGGGAGCAGCCGGGATGCCGCACTCGCTGATCCATGAGTTGATGATGAAACTGCTGCTGCCGCTGGTGCCGAACCTCTCGCGGGTGACAAGTAATCAGGAGGCACCAGGCCTTGCCATGACGCCTGCTGTGTGTTCTGTGGTGGAGTAGGTTCTTCGCTGCTCGTGCCAACGGTCTCCCATCCATCGGGCGTCTCGAATGCTGCCCAAGATCCATTCGCAAAAGGATGTTGAGCTGGTGTGCCGTCGCCATACTCATACCATGTGTCTCCTGTTGACTGTTGACACATACCATAAACTCCGTCGCCTTCATACCACGAGGTAATATCGCCGTCGTCCTCGTCGTAGTGGTATTCGTGATCAACATCGGCTGGGCCGTCTTCAAGAAGAAAGGTGCCACCACTACGATAGCGATAACCTTTGCCTTTGTTTCGTCCACTGCGAAAGCCCTTGGAGTTGTTCTTGCCCTTTCGATAACCTTTTGAACTTGATGATCTGCCTTTGCTTTTACCTTTCCGATAGTTTCCTTTCTTGCCGCCGCTGTTGCCGTAGTTCGTCATGTACTTGCCTTTGCCTTTGCTCTTGCTGCTGCTGCTGCCTTTACCTTTGCTTGAAGAACCTTGGTGATCGTGGCTTGCTGAGGAGCCTCCAGGTAGTGGGCAATCTGAACTTGAATGCCATTTTGATCCACATTTGGTACAGCCATCTTTACGTTGGTTGCTGTTGCCCTTGCCCCAGAACTCGCCTGTCTCCGAAGAAGAATGATGTTGATGTGGCTGATCTTGTGGATATTCTCCTTCTTGCCAGTCCCGGTCGCCCCAGTAGGTCTCTTCTTGCCACGTATCGTCTTCGTTCCACTGCCATTCAGATTCGTCATAGGAATCGCCATACCATGTGTCTTGCCACGAACTGCCGTGATATACTCCTGCCATGTCGTGTAAAGTTGAAGACTTCGCCGCATCATGATCTCCAAACATTCGTGTGCAAAGACGCCTGATATCATGATATCGTGAAAGATCTCCGTCAACTCGGAGACGTAGGTCAAAGTGTTGCCGTTCGGAGAGCTGAGCGCCACGAAGAAGAAAGTATGTCTTGCCTATGTCGTTCATTTGTAAGCCGCACTGCGCTTCCGCATCTGAGAGGGCCAAGTCATATAATGCTAAGAAATCTCCAAACTTGCTGTTGCCACGAAAGAGTTCGAAGAACGCTGTAAGAACTTCCCACTGGAGATCTTGTCTGTCGGTCGTGTACTCCTCAAGGATGCGCTGTTTTAAGAACTTGGCGCCGCTCATCTGTTCGGGAATCATGCTGATGCCAACTTGCTGTGCTTCATTTGCTGGTTCTGCGAAGAGTTCGGGAGCTTCGATCATAATCTGCTGTCCAGTAACCAAGCTCCACCGTTGAGCTCGTAAACTCATTGCATATTGGAAAACCTGTCCGCGAAGTCGTCCACATATTGCTGGGCCCCACTGTTCTTCGTTCAGGTCGGTTTGGAGCCACCATAGCTTGAGGAGCTGAGCATACCTCCGTATCGGGTATCGCTTGATTCCAGTCACCCAACCGGGTGGAGTGCTTCTCGTGAAAGAGTCCAGGGGTAATCTCGAATTGTCTGCGCCACTGACATTTGCAGCGGCTCCGTCCATGATGAAGAGATCGTAGTTGACTGCGTACAAAACTGGCGCGGCGAGACCGGTGTTCAGGTCGTAGTGGGCGTCGGAATGGGTGTAGATCGTAGCAGCCCAGCCTTCTGCCTCCACGAGCTCGGTGACGCCGTCGCTCCAACCAGCAAGACTCCAGAGCCAGGCCCCAAGGAGCGGGACAAGACCAAGGCACGCTATGGCTGGCCAGGCAAGATATGGAAGAGGAAGTTTTACCTTGAAATTGGATCGCATATGTCGCGCTACCAAACTCGACTTTTCAGTCCTTGAGCCGAGGTGTTGTACAGCACACATCCTCTGCTCTACTTCACTCTATCATCATTTCACATCGCTACTACGACCCTGTCTCTCTCACATGTCGATGTTCTGGATATTCAGAGTGGAGGGGGAGGAGGGGGGGAGGAGGGGGAGGAGGAGGGGGAGGAGGGGGAGGAGGGGGAGGAGGGGGAGGAGGGGGGGGGAGGGAGGGGGGAGGGAGAGGGGGAGGAGGGGGAGGAGGGGGAGGAGGGGAGGAGGGGGGGAGGAGGGGAGGAGGGGGAGGGGAGGGGGAGGAGGGGGAGGGGAGGAGGGGGAGGAGGGGGAGGGGGAGGGGGAGTCGTCGAACACGTGGCGAAGTCCGAGCCCTGTCCCCGCCGCCCAGGAGCGTGAACCCTACAGACTGTTAGCCTTAAGTACAAGCTGCTGCCTTTTAGAAAACTCAAGGTTTAAGACATGCCCACTTGCAACGGTCAAGAGTTTGAGCTGCGACTTTTGAGGCACGAGCAGCTCTGGTTGATGGGGCTAGGGTTCGGACGTCGCCACGGAAGGAAGAGGCGGAGGCGGAGGACAGGAGTGGACAGAAGCGGCGGGTGGCAACTGGCGTCTCTCATTGCAGATGGTGGCACGTTTGCCCTGTCGTGGAGGTACGGCTCCCCCCCCGCTGCCGCCGTCGTCGTTGGCCGAGAGACTGTAGGGGGGCTCTCGGTCCCCTCCGGTGCTAGTTGACGGCAGAGTTGAAGCTTAATTGGTGGTGGTGGGAGCCCAAGCAGCCCCAATGATGGAAGCTGCGAGGGGTGTGAGGCCCATTGACGGTCCTCACTGGCGAGGCGTGATGACGGTCCTCGCCGACGGGAGGGGGGAGAGGGAGGGGTGGGACGTAGCGACGATGCCGCCCGCGATGCGCCCTGGTCCAGAGGCGGTAATTCCTGGAAGGGGGCCAGCAAAACACAAAAGCTGCACACACGGCTTCGACCCCGCACTGCGTGGGCCCTGCGCACTCGGTATCCCACGAGGGGGGGGATAGCGAGTGCGCACGAAAACACGCTCTGGTACCAGTTTGGTGCGCCCCCGGGGGCAGACGAAGCGTGTCCTCCCCCAAGGGGCAAGCAACCGAGGGCCCCGGGGACAGCCGCGCCCCGCCGAGAGCATTCCCGAGGAAGGGCAGGCAGACGTTACGCTTAAGTCGGGCGTGTCCCCCTACAGGGGGATTTTCGACGAAACATACAAAATAGCAAAAAAATAGTCCAAACATAGTTTGGGGACTATTTTTTGAGCATTGTTTGGCCATTCTGGGGTATGTTGGGGGGTATTTTTTTATTGTTCGTCGAAAATCCCCCTGTAGGGGGACACGCCCGACATAAAGTTACGCCCCAGTCCAGGGCAGACGCCAGTCCATGGCGACACCCTCGCCCTTTAGCGCAGCCCAAGATGTGACCGAAGGGGTGGTGGGCCCCGCCTAGCGTTGAAAGTCCAGGGTTCGCTAGGGACCAGTCGCCTCTCAAAACAGCCGAAACCCTCCCGAACCATTCGAATACCCCCCAGGAAAGGAAGTGTTCCAGGAGGCTATTCGGAGGACTTCGGGAGGGTTTCGGAAGGGTTTTCGTCGTTTCGGGGGGAAACCAGTCCCTAGCGAACCCTGGACTTTCTAAGCCTAGCGACGAACCGCGCATCAACACCCAAGTTTCCTGGTGCCTGTTTGGCAGCGCGTTCACGATGGAAAAAAAGGTGCCCGCGCTCCCCCCCTCCTCCTCCTCCTCCTCCTCCTCCTCCTCCTCCTCCTCCTCCTCCTCCTCCTCCTCTTCAATTCCTCCTCCCTCCTCCACCTCCTCCTCCTCCTCCTCCTCCTCCTCCACCTCCTCCTACATGCAATCGCTGGCGAGAGATCCAGCTGGGGTTCAGGCTCGGGCCAGGCCTCGAGGTCCCTCGGGGGTATACCTCCTTCCAGCGCCTTCGTTACTTGCCTCCCGCCGCTTCGAGACAGTCCTGGAACAGTCTCAGGGCGGCTTCTGAGGAGAAAATGCAGCTTCTCCACCACAGTCGCGGCACCATAAGACCCCACGGAATTGCTGGTCCTTGGGGTGGATCAAGAAGGGGGCCCAGGACGGGAAAGTGAGACGAACCAAACAGCGCCAGGGCGTCCTTGGCTTATCTAAGCGATGGTCGCTGAGGAGGCTGGACCTCTCAGCCTTCCTCTTTTTGGCTTCTCGCCTTCGGCATTGGACGCTGCTGGCTTCATACAGCGTGCTGGGGGCACTGGCAGTGTTGATGGGCCTGTTCTCCACCACCACCACCACCACCATAAGTTGGAGGGGGGCAGGAGGTGGAGGAGGTGGAGGAGGAGGAGGAGGAGGAGGAGGAGGAGGAGGAGGAGGAGAAAGAGGAGGAGGAGGAGGAGGAGGAGGAGGAGGAGGAGGAGGAGCAGGAGGAGGAGGAGGGGGAGGAGGAGAGGGAGGAGGACTCCCTCCCCCTCCTGCTTCTGGTGGTGGTGGTGGTGGTGGTGGAGAACAGGCCCATCGAGTGTGGGCCGAGGCGGCCAGGATGTGCTCTTGCACTCTGGCGGCCAGCTCGAGCTGTGGCGCGCCGCTGCCACGGGGGCCATCCTGGGAGCTGGGCGACTCTCTCGCGGCCTCTTCGGCCAGCCTGTCAGCGACGAATTTTCGCAATCCAGCGCTCGAGGCGGGACCGTCGGCCCAAAACGGCCTCGCTGGCCAAGTCGCGGGCTTGGACTTCAACAGCGCGGACCTTGCGTCCTTCACGCTCTTGCCAAAGCACGCTGCTCTTCATTCACTCTTCTGCCCGTCCTCCTCCTCCTCCTCCTCCTCCTCCTTCTGATCCTCCTCTTCCCCCTCGGCGTCTCGAATAATCACATCAGAGTCACGGATTGAGGGCGGGCCGTCTTCAAATACATGTTTGCAAACGGGCTCTCTTAGGGAGCTCGTGATACAGGCCGTGCTTTTTATATGGAAGCCTAGTTTTCTAGTTAAGGCCTCGATGGGACTGGAGGGGGGCGGGGCAGCGTGCGCAGCAGGGTGCAGAAGAGATGTCCATAACGTTTGGCTCTAGCTTCAACAGCGGCACAGCTTAGCTTCTCCGCTTCTGCCGCCGCGGTGCATGGCGATAGCAGTCAACCGCGAGTCTCTCCTGGTTGGCCGCTTGTGTCTTGGGGACCGGTCTCGTCAACGAGAACGCAATCGAGGGTTGGCTGGACTGTGCAGCTGGTGGATTCGACGCTCTCCTTCTGGGCGACGAAGAGCTCGAGGCCGAGACCCCGTTCGACGAGCCGAGCGTGGACGCGGACCCGTGTGAGGACGAGGAGGAAGCTGACTCGCCCATGCCAGCGCAGCGGTGGAGCAGGACCTACTACCGCCCGCGGGCCGACCAGCACGGCGGCTTCCTCGTGCTTCTGGTGACGAAACTCACGGACACCGCAGGGAAGACGCGCTGGGTGACCATCGACCCGACGGGCAGGCCCCAGTTGATCGATCTATGCGTGACCATCAAGCCCGTTTGCTGTACCGCCAATGCTGCCGGTCGCTGCGTTGTGGCGTCCCCACCCGCCGGGATGTCTTCGCCGGGCTTCGGCGTTTAATTTGGGTCATTTTGTCCCTTGCATGTGCATGCGCTTCTTCGGCCAATTATCTTCGTTTCGCGCCCCGTTCGATGCCCCGCTTCTTGACCTTCGCCAGGGAGCCGCCAGCGAAAAAAGTGACCATCAAGCCCCGTCCTCGGGCCTTCGCCGGCGTGGACCATGGCGCCTTCCCAGGCCTCCCCCGGCGGGGCAGAAGGCCGAGAGGCCGCGGCCGCCGCGGACAGCATTCATCTCGGCGGGCAGCGCCGCCACGACAGCCGGCAACACGCGGGGCTGCGCCCGAGGTGCTTAAAACGACGCGAAGATCAGGACAAAATCGGATCGGGGTAACTCGAAATCTCTGAGAATCGGCGGGTGTGGAGGATGTGTTGGGCGCCGCGGCCGCTCCAGAGCGTTCCGGAACGCTCTGAGAGCGCTCCGGAACGCTCTGGAGCGATTAATCCCGATCTTAGCCCCGTTTTAGTGCTGGCGGAGGCCGGGGACGTCGAGGGCAGCGCCGCCACGTGGTGTCCTGGCTCGCGGAGCTGGTCTCGAGCGTGCTGGGCGATGTCTGGGCCAGGCGCAGCCTTGGGAGTGTGGCCGGGTCCTCCTTTGTCCTGTGGAGAGCGGTGGCCTACTTCAACGTCGCGGAGTGGGCGCGCTGGGGCTACGGCTCATTCAAGGATGCGGTGGACACGGTGGAGAGCTTCAAGGGGGAGATCGAGCAGATCGTCGAGATGCACGAGCCGGGAGCCCTCGAGCCTTTGTACCTGTCCGTGGGGATCATGCTCGCTGTGGGTTTCCTGGGTGCTCGTGCTGCAGACGGTCGCCGTCCTCCTCTGTGGCCACTGCGTCCTCGTCGGGCTCTTCGGCTACTCCTGGATGGAGCTGGCCCTCGTGGTCGCCGTCGCCAAGCGAGCCGGGATCAACGATTCCGCGAGACGAAGGGCACGGCCAGCCCGGACAACGAGGACGGCGACCCCATGGAGAAGGAGGTTATGAAGCCGCCGGGGCCGGTGGCCGAGCGTCCGGCGGCCAGGCCGCCATCGAGGAGAAGCAGGCCGCGCCCTTCTCGCCGCCTCCAGCGCCGCGGCCGACGGGAACGGCGACGAGCGGAGCTGCCACTGGCGGGAGCGGCGGCGCCGAGAACTACGACATGATGAGGTGCGCCCTGCTGAGGAGGCTGGATCGGCACAGGGAGCTTGTCGAGCAAGACGGCCTCGGGGCCAAGGCGGGCAGCTCTCCCGCCAGAGGGGGGGCCGGCCGGCGGCCCCAGCCCCAAGATCGACTCGCTCGCCAGGAGCCAGGACGAATCCCTCATGGACATGCGCGAGATGGCCACAGAGAAGCCCAACGCGTGCCCGAACACACACATATATATGTATATATATATATATATGTACATGTGTACACATATATACATATATTGGTGCAGTATATTATAGTATAATATGTTATAATATAATATAATACAATAGAATATCATATGAGTTAGTATAGTATACTATAATATAGTATAATCGAATATGATATATTATATCATAATATAACAGATTCTAACACAACACAGTATACTGTAATAAAGTATAATATAATATATCAAGATATAGCATCATATAGTATAATATAATACAGCATAATATACAATGGTATAATATAATATGATACAACAATATACTATAATATAATATGAGGTATAACATCCGATACTATAATGTAATATAATACAGTATAATGTAGTACAATATAAGATGATATAGTATCATATAATATGGAATGCTCTATTGCCATATAATTTACTATAACATAATACAATGTAATACAACATAATGTGATATACCACACTAGTTTATAACATACTATAGTATAATACAATCCAATACGGTACCGTATAATATAATGAAGTCTACTATGATGTAGTATATTATAATATAATATATTATAATATACTACAATATAATATACATATACATTTACATATACATATACATATACATATACACAAACATATACATATACCTACGCATCTAAATATATGTATATGTATATATATGTACATATTTACATACATAAATACAGGGATATACACATACACATACACATACACATATGATCGAATGCGGATGCATAGTGGTGTTGTAGCAGGATGTATGTTTGCACACTTGTGTGCAGATGTGTGTGTGTTCACAGTGACTAACGCATTCTGTTGCGCGAGCCATGCCGCCTTACTGTGCCTTGACATGGTTGCGAGCCCTGGTTTACGCTCGTCGCTGGAAAAAGAGGTGATTCGGATTTATGTATATATATATATGTGTGTAGATGGCGCAGGGCGCATATTATTGGAGCTCCACTTGCAGCGGAGTAGAGTTCCATCGCCAACTTGTCCAGTTGCCGTGCTTCAGTGTGGTAGAGCTCCATCACCCTCTTGTCCAGCTGTCGCGATGTCGGCTGCGTGGGTCAGAAACTCCATCGCCTTTTTGTCCAGCTGTCGTGATGTCGGCTGCGTGAGCCTGTGTTCACGCGCCGTGCCCACTCCTCGTCCTCGTGTTCGCCGGCAACCTCATATTCGGGTCTGTCCTCATCGTCGTCCTCCTCGTCGTCGCCCGACCCCCCCCTTCTCGTCCTCTCCTCGTCCCTCTGCTGTCGCAGCTCCTCCTCCTCCTCCTCCTCCTCCTGTTTCTCCTTCTCCTCCTCCTCCTCCTCCTCCTCCTCCTCCTCCTCGTCTTCCTCCCTCCTCCCCATCATTGTCCGTAGTTCCCCCTCCCGCTCCCGCCCTCCGCCTGCCAACACGCGGTCGTCGGCCCTGGGGCACGGCTCGCCACCTCCTGCGAGAGAGCCGCGACCCCCGCCCCAGTGGCCCCTCTCGCTCCCCTTCGTTTCCTCCCTCTCCACAGTCCATCTCGCTCCCCTTGGCTTCCTCCTTCTCCTCCAGGAGGAGGAGGAGGAGGAGGAGGAGGAGGAGGAGGGGAGGAGGAGGAAGAGAAGGAGCAGGAGGAGGAGGAGGAGGAGGAGGAAAAGGAGAGTGGGAGGAGGAAAATGAGGAGGAGGAGGCGGCGGCGACCCTGCTCCACAAGCCACCCGCTTCCTCCCCCTCCCCCGTGCGCCTCCTTGCCCCCCACTTCCCCCTCGCCTCCGCCTGCTCGTGCTCCTCGTGCTCCCGCCCCCCACCACCACCACCCCCCGCTGCCCCCATTCCCCAGCCCCCCCCCCCCCTCGCGTCGCGAAGGGGTCGCGACGGCCGGCTTTTCGCACCTCGCCTGCCTGCTCCCGCTATCCTCCCCCTGCTGCGCTCTGCTGCGCTGCTGCTGCCCCAACCTCCTCCCCCCGTCCTCCCGCCCGCGCCATCCCCGAGCCCTGGTGCTGCTCCCCCTCGCCCCCCCCTCGCCTTGCCCCAGTGTCGTCGTCGCCGCCGCCGCCGTCGACCTCGTCGTCGCGGTCGCCGCCGCCGCCGCCTCGGCCGCCGCCGCGCAGCCGAGGGCCCTCGGGAGGCCCAGCGCCAGGCCGGCCGGCCCCCCCCGCGGGGCAGGGCGCGCCTCCCAGAGCCCGGCCTCTCGGCCCCTCCTCCTCCTCCTCCTCCTCCTCCTCCTCCTCCTCCTCCTCCTCCTCCTCCTCCTCCGCCCCCCCGCGCCCGAGGAGCGGCGCCCGCCGGAGCGGCGCCCGCCGGGCCAGCGAGCCAGCGGCTGTGGCGCGGGGCGGCGGGCTCAATGCCCTGGCTCTGGCGAGCGCCGCCTGCCCCATAAAAAACTGGAGGTCCCAAGGAGGTGGGAGAGGAAGGAGAGGAGAGAGGAGGAGGAGGGGAGGAGGAGGAGGGCGGGGGGGGAGGGAGGAGAGGAAAGGGGAAGGAGGGAATGGGGGAGGAGAGGAGGAGGAGGAGAGAGGAAAAGGAGGAGGAGGAGGTGTATGCATGGAGGTAAATGCAGGAGGTAAAGTGCAGGAGGAGGGGAGGGATGAGAGAGGGGGAGGAGAGGAGAGGAGGGTGGAGGAAGGAAGGGGAGGGGGGGCAAAAAGAGAGGAACGCGGAGGAGAGGCGGGCGGGGGGGGGAGGGAGGGGAGGGTGGGGAGAGCGGGGGAAGGATGAGGGATGCCAGGGTACGGAGAAAGTAGGAAGGGAGGCGGCCGGGCAGGCGGTAGGAGGAAGATTCGCAACTCTAGTAGGCCCCGGCTCGGGATGAAGAGCCGGTCCTGGGGCATACGGGTCGAGACTGCCGGGGACCGCGCATGGAACAAAAACACCACCTCGGACCTCTGGGTTCCAGGGGGGCTGCCCGGCCAACGCCGCCGGCCAGCGCCGCCGCGGAGTCTCGGAGAGAGTTCCGAAGTCACATCGGCACGAGGGGAGGAAAGGGTGCCGATGCCGCGGTTCTGGCCTTGGATGCGCCGCTGTGGGCGTCCTGGGAGGCCCTCGTCGCCGCCGCTGAGTTCGCCTCGAAATTTCGGTCAGGACGCACCCCAGGAGGGTCGGGGGTGGCCAAGAGGGGGGTCGTCTTGTTCTAATCCGTCCCTTGCCCCTCACCCCCCTTGGCCACGCACGTGCCTCGGGCCCCGATGTGTGAACCACCCCTCGTGGACGCCCACGAAAGGAATGGGGGACCCCCAGACGGTGTGGTAACCATGCCGCGTGGCGAGCCAGATTGGGTCAGTGAGCGGGGTTCGGGGTCACCGCACGGTCTTGGGACTCGAGCTGTTCTCCGAGGACGTCTCGGGCGACCGGGGCCTCCAGGATCCCAAGACCGTGCAGTGACGGACCGCGCGGTGAGGTTTCTTGGGATTTCGAGGCCATCGCGCGGCGTAACCACACGGTTTCAGGACTTCCAGCACCCCGACTGAAGGAGGGGAAGGGAGGAAACGTGGAGAAAGGGGGGACTGGAGGAGGAGAGAAGGAATGGAGAGAGTGAGGAGGAGGAGGAGGAGGAGAGAGCAGAGTGAGGGAGGAAGGAGAGGGGGGAGGATTCCTGCGGGGAGGACCAGGAGGGGAGGCGGCGGCGGCTCGGCACGGGCGGCGGCGGCGGCGTCCATGACGGCGTCGGCAGGAGGATGCGGCCTCGCGGAGGAGCATGATGAGGAGGAGGAGGAGGAGGAGGACAAGCCAGGCTTGCTCGCGCCATATCTGACGTCCGATCTCATCCCTACACATTTTGTTAATATTTATATATCCGCTTGAGGGCGTGATAGCGGGCCTGGAACCTTCAAAAGAACACCATCGTGTTTTGCGTCATGCGCAATCACGAAAGTGAAGCTGTTTACATTGGAGGAGGATGAGGAGGAGGAGGAGGAGGAGGTGGCGGATGAACATTGGGAAGAAAATGAGGATAAGGATGAGGAAGGAAGAGGACGAGGAGGAGCAGAGGAATGAGCATGAGGACCCGGGGAAGGTGGACGATGGGAAAGGGGCGGGGCGGCAACGGCGAGGGAGGAGTCGGCTCCAGAATTGAGGCCCGCGCCCGGGCGAGAGCGCCCTTCTGAACGAAGAAAGGCTCGCCGATTCTAGCAGCCCTGGCCTCCAGTCCCAGGCAACTCATTGCCCTTGGAGCCTGCTCGTCAGCGGTGCACTGCAAAAAAAGTCGCCGATTCTAGCATGAAGACAACTCTTGAGAGGGAACAGCGTCTTGAGAGTCCGAACTTCTTGAAGTGGCAACAGCAACGTCACAGGTTACCCAGCGTGGACCCCAAGCAGAGTATTTCTATAGCAACATATGCTGTCCAGCCGATGTTGCGTAATATGTTATGCAAACTATGTGGTGCAACATAGCTGGTACAGTCGATATTGCGCAACGTGTGCGGAGCAGTCTACGTGGTTCAATTTATATGTGGAACAATCTACGTGGTACAATCTACTCAGTGCAACCAGCAATATATGTGTTGTGCAGTCTATGTTGGGCAAACAATGGAGTGCAATCTATGTGGTGCGATCAGTATGTCGCAATGACGGTGGTGCAATCTTTGTGGTGCGCATTATACGCGGTGCAATATAATTCGGTTGAACCATCTATGTGGTGCAATATCTGTGGTGCAACCTGTGCTGTACAATATGTGTTGTGCGGGCTGTGTTGTCAAAATTACGTCACGCTGACGACGGTGACGGCGTCCTCGCGTCGGTGATGAAGGTTTTGGAATGAGTTCGACATGCGCGCGCGGCCGACGCGCGAGAGTGGCCCGCATGGTTTTATTTGACACGTATCGTTTTCCTTCAGCACGCGCGCAAGGGCGTGCTAACGATGTCGGCATGCGCCGCCAGGGGCCCGCTTGGCAGAATGCCACGAACATGTTGAACAACGCATGGCTTCCTGAAGAATGCGCAAGAGCGCGAGCGCACGCTTTTTGAAAACTGATGCTGCGAAATCATTTGTTTTGTGTATGTTGTGTTGGACATT